TCATCCTGGTCACCATACTTTTCCTTAATCTTTTTTTGCTTTGCCTTCTTGCCTCGTTTTGGCTGCTGCTGCTGCTCTTGCTGTGGCTTGGTTGTGCGTGAATGTGACTCCTGCTGGCCTTTGCTCTTCTGCTGCGATTCCTCTCCGCCACCATCTCTGGTTTCACTGTCATGAGATGGCTTACTTTCTGTTCGTTTCTTCTTGAGGTCTCTGTAATTACAGTTATGTGTGTACCTCTAGCATATAGAACTAAATATGGTTACATGCTATGAGGTTCTCTCACTAAGCTTACTTGTACATAGAGCTATAAGCATCAGTGTCCCCAGTAGGAATTGACTTATAGTGATCGTGATTCATATATACACAGATAAATGATTCGTTAGAATGTTTATGATAATTAAATTTACTATTAAACACATGAATCTCACATGCCCGTTTAACTAAAGGCTTCATATACCACATATTAACTTGAGAAACATGAGAAAAATAGATCGTTGACCAAATTTCATAACATTCCAATTACTCTAGATACATGTCACCATAGAACATATTGTTTTGAATGAGTAAATGCATACCGTCGCTGCTTTGCAGAGAGACGTTGCTTAGAGCTATCAGTAACAGCAGGCAATCCTGCACCATCACCTTGTTCATGAGATCCATCTGGCATGCTACCTCCACTGACAGACCTTTGTAGCTGAAATCTATTACATAAAAAACTAGAAAGGGCAGTTGTCGCCAACTACATGTATCCTCCGTGATCTAGTATGAATGAAATCAAGGTCAATGTCAAAGTAAAATAAAGGTCACAGTGACCTGGTTTTGGTACGCGACATACCTTCTCCCCAAGATGTGTAAGTATACCAAGTTTGGTAGCGCTAGGTCAATTAGGGGCCGAGTTATAGAGCGGAAGGGAAATATGATCAAGGTCAAGATCAAGGTCAAGGCCAAATAAAGGTCGCAGTGATCTGGTTTTGGTACTCTGCACACCTTCTCCCCAAGATGTGTAAGTATACGAAGTTTGGTCGTGCTAGGTCAATTAGGGGTCGAGTTATAGAGCAGAAGGGAAATTCTCTGCGGCGGACCGAGCGGCGGCGGCGGCTGGACAGAAATAAAACCATAGTATCCCCGCCGACTTCGTCGCAGGGGATACAAAAAATCAACAAGTGTTTAAAGAAGAGTACCTTCCATGCGTCCATAGAAAGATCAAGTCCATCTTCTTTTTCTAAACATAAGCACGTCTTCCTTACATGAAAAAGTATTACCACAGCCTGCAGGTACAGGAGGACAGAAAACTACACAAACTCACATGTCTCCCTTTACATGTTGAAGCTGAATATTCGTGTCTGGAAACAAGCCAACTTCCTCTTCTTCTTCTTCTTCCTCTCCTTGCTCTGCCGTTTCCCCCGCACTCACGGTGTCAACACTGTCCGAAGTTATAGCATCAGTGTTTCTCAAACTCTCGGGATGCTTAGCCTCATCATCTATACCTAACTTGTCATTTCTCTCCACGTCATTACGGTGTTGCAGCTCATCGGGTGATGGTTCATTTACCTCATCATCGTTAGACTCAGACTGACTGCTTGACCTCTCATTTTCTAGAGTTTCCTCGCACTCCACTCTGTTCGTATCTTCTACCTCGCTCTCACTATCACTTCCCTCCACTATTTCGATTGGTTCGTCTGCATCTGTATTGATCTATTTGAAATAAGAGAATAACCGAAATTTAACAGCAATATATTTATTGCACCAGTTAATGATTTGCAATATGGAGTGTTCTTTACAAATTCAACTCAACATATTTTTCTCTTTAATTTTTTGAATTAGATTTTCTCTCAATTATTAAACACTAGTAGTCTAGTCAATCAGACTGAGTAAGATACTTTTACAACAAATGGAGAATTACTGAGTGTTTTCACACCTCTGTGCTAGCGACTGATTCCTCATTTGCTAATCTTGCACTTCGCTCACCCTTGTGATTTTCTATACAGCTCTCATCCAACTGAAAATCAGGTGCGTCATCAAAACCAAGACGAAAATCAAAAATAGAAATCAAATGAAACCATATACAATGCTGTGTATGCCGGAAACACACAATTCTTAGGCAATGGGTTTACCTTAACTAGAAAGCTTTTTGTAATATCAAGAGAACATACTTCTTTATTATTTAGCCATGTTTATACGAAGCTTTGCCAGATAGGGATCATACGTAATGAGCCGGTTTCCAACGTTAAGAGACGTCGCGAACCAGATACTCGACATAGCCAAAAAGGATGCTCACCTTAAACATGAAGCCAAATCCCATGATGAGATGTGAGGGTGGCAGGTAGTTCTTCTTCCCTCTCACCATAAAGCTTCCCGTTGTTAGGTACTCACCAGTTGGGGCGGTTTTTGACACCTGTAACAGCACCATGCATTGTTCCATCTGTGCGTGAACTAGGTCAGACTACTACCATGACTCGATGTTCATCACATGGATTGCACACACTGAGTAGCAAATTACACATCAGGCTCACCTGGTCATGGTACACCCACCAGGCACTGGTCACAACTTTGGCATCCCATGCTAGGCTATAGCAGATAGCCATTGTCCCTGCCTCATTGAGAGTTTTAGGGAGAATAGGGGCTCCTGAAAGAAGGCAAAAATCTAGGCATTGGAAGCGAAAATCGAGATATTAAACTTTAGAAATAGGCAGCTGTTTTAAAATTCGTATATATGCACACCTACACACAAGACATCATAGAGCTTATGTACAGAAGCTGTATGAATTTCATGTGCATGCGAATGCATCCATATAAACTAATTTAAAACAACCACCTAATATGATCTCTTGAATGTATTTAATTCATGTGTATTCACTTGTATAAATATTTCATACAGTTAGAGTATAGTGCAATATTAGAAGTTGAAGATAGCAGACAGTAATGTTGAGCTTCAGCGACCTACCAGATGGGTTCTTGACAATGACGCTGGAGGCACCATGCAGGTCGGCGTGAACGTAGATGTCTCCAGGACGTAGGTACTTCTTCACAATAATCTCATTCTGTTGTTGGTCTCTGCCACCGATCACCACATAGTTCTCAGTGCTAATGAACCAGAAGAACTTCTCAAACCTATACAACATAAAATAACACTGAACCGTGCGTGATTCAGGGATTGATAAGACGAAATCCTCACATCCTTTATGGTTGCTGTATTTACAATTATTACAGTTAATCCAAGTGGTGATCATAGAATGTTGAGCATTTTTTAAAATCCCTACACCTAATATTATTTTACTTAAATTTCTCACCTGTATGATAAACTAACTACCTTTTCAGCAGCACACTTATCTTGTAACTCTGCTGTACTACATAAATACCCAAAACATTTTCGGATTACCTAAACAGCAATGGAGCGAGTACCCTACTCGAAAATCAAAATTTGCCAATAATGGCTGCTGTACTGAGCCTGCACATACATCATAAGCTAACCTATTGAAATGATTATTACCTGTTGGCTGACGACAATCAATATTAGCTTGAAAGTGTACAACAGCGTTAACAAGGCATAGAGAAGCTTTAATATCATCATCAACATTATCACGACTCATATGGCCTCTTAGGTATTTCAAGGCGATAATAGCAAATAAAATACAATATCCTACTATAATGAGTATCTAAGAGCATTAAATTTAATTCTGTGATATGCATTTATGTGTTGCATAAACTCCCAAATGGAACATACCAGTATGTTTTTCTGGCTTTGTTTATACTCGCCACCATGGCAACATCCTTTAGCATTTGCTTTGTCTTTTTTGTTGCAGATTTTACTGCCTGTGTATACAAGAAACCAACGTGAGCATACTGCCTGATCACACCTATTAAATCATTAGAAATCATTATTGGTAGATCACCATTTATACTGCTGTTATAGTTAGCAAGTGAATTCAAATATGAGCGTTGTACCATCCATATTCACTATGCAAGTTAAAATATATAAGCAAAAGCGATCAGGCTAACACACTAGCAGCAGCCAAACAGCACTTCAGATTGCTTTCCTTACAGTGAGCAAGGTATGTACTAAATCAATATTTTATATAACCTATAAATGGCAAGCATACCTTCTCAGAAGATTCTATGGTCTTCTGCTCTTTCTGTTTAGCTGTTCTCCGTTGATCATAGTATCTGCATTTTAAATTACCCATAATGATGTTAATCAGTAGTTCACAGAGAATGAACTGAAGAATTTATATTTAGAAAGACCAACAACCTTATATAATACCATTGTCGAAAGCAACTTTCTGCTGCACTTGGTTTTGTTTGAGAATCACATTAACAATGAATGAACGGACAAAGTAAGTGCATGGTGCGAAACAGTGCCATATTTATCATGTTGCCCAGCCTAAATAATGTACCTACTTACTTTCTTGCATTTCCATAGGCAGTAAGGTACAGGTCAATGTCCACCATTCTTGGCTTGATGTAGTTCTCTGCCTCTTTGTCTGCCTCTGTTCCATCATCAAATGGATCTCTGAGAACAATACGAACTATAGTGTCAGACTACCGGTAATGTCGGAAACATATACACTATCACGTATGACACCTACTATTCTAGCTGCAAATAACAGAGACCTGACGTGAAGTGTGGCACCATCTGTACTTAAAAATCTGTGAAATCTACAGCGAATAAACATAGTAACACGTTGTATATCAACGCTCGTCATGCCACATAAAAAAATTGTGGGGTGACCCCAGAACGCACCTGAGGAGCATCGATATGTGGTTGATTTCCAGTTTCACCTTTTTGATCATGGCTGCAATGGGGTCACCCTGCATCTGTGCTTCATGTATGATGCTGTTTATCTCGGTCCAGTCGATCTGATTCGCAATGGCCGACCTCACAACTTTTATCGCACCATCAACCTGAGTATTGTCAGAGTGAATCATGCACATGATTTTCCTTCTTTTTCTTCTTAGCTAATGCATAAATTATTGAATTAACTATTTATCTATAGGCCTTATTACCTCCGCCACGAAGTGGAGCGGAGGTAATGTAATCGGTCTCGTGTGTGTGTGTGTCCAGTCCGCGCAGCGCGATCGTCGATAGCGAGTCGAGTCAGCGAGCGGCGGCGCGATTGATAGCGCGTCGAGTCAGCGAGCGGCG